TATCTGCAAGCTGTGACATACATACTGGGTTACGTTAGCAATAAGCATCGTAAAAAAGTATAGCGCAACAAAATATCGCTGTGTAGCAAGTTAACGGCCGCCAAGCAGTTTGCAAGCAGCGCAGCGTGGGAAGTGCGACGCGGGACGCAGGCAGTGAGAAACTGCATACAAACAACAGCAAGCAGTAGAAACAGTTTGAAACAGTGGAGAGCAGCAGTACAAGCGGTAGGCAAATCCAAATACCAGAGAACGCGGTATTGGTGAGTGTATGTGCAGGCGCCTAACAATTTAAAAAAAAAAAAACTTAAAATTTTGTCAATTCTTTTAATGAGAGGTGAAGCCTCCATTCATTTTGTAAATTAACATAATTTAAGAAAATATTTTGTTGTACAAAGCAGTAGTACTTGCGCAAACAATAATGGATTCGAAAACAATTATGTCATTGAAAGTAGAAGAGTTGCGGCAGCATTTAAAAGAGCTTAAACTTAGTACAGTGGGCAGAAAAAGTGTGTTGCAGGATAGATTGTTGGACCACTATGATTTGGAGGAGGTTGATTTAGATGTAGAGGAAGACAAATCAGAACAGGCAAGCGTGTATGAAGATGTACATAGTAATAACAGCATTTCACGTTTTACATTGCGCGACGTGCAGGATAGCATTACAGCTTTTTCTGGCACAAGTCAGCCAAACGTAGAACAGTGGATTTCAGATTTTAAGATGTAGCCATAACCGTGAGATGGGATGACCTCCAAAAGTTTATTTACGCCAAACAGCTATTGATTGGGGCAGCAAAATTGTTTACAAGAGGATTGACTGGAGCCCGCAGTTGGACACAATTGAAGGCAAATCTTAAATCTGAATTTGGCCAGAAATTGAGCTCAGCTGAGGTACACAGTTTGCTAAGGAAAAGACGAAAACTACCGAAAGAGACTTTGACCGAATATTTATACAGCCTGATTGAGATGGGGAAACAAATTCAACTCGATGATGAGAGCTTGATCTCTTACTTTGCCGATGGTGTGCCAGACACAAAATCCAACAAGGCAAGTCTTTATCGTTGCAAAACTATAAAAGATTTAAAAGGGAAATCAAGCTCTACGAAAAGATCGAGGGTGGAAACAAAGAAATTGTAATGAAAAAAGGACAGGGACAAAATACTAGGAGATGCTTTAAATGCAATAAAGAAGGTCATCAGGCAAGGGAATGCAAGGAACCATCAACATGCTATAATTGCAACAAGCCGGGCCACATCGCCAAAAATTGTTAAAAAAAAGTAAAAAAAAAAGAGCAAGTTGCGTTTGCCGGATTAAAATCAGTGGGAAAAGACTTAACCTATAAACAGTTTGTCATGCCGTTTTTAGCGATGGTCGATACTGGCTGCGATTTGTGTCTTATGAGAGAAGATTTAGTGGGAAGATTGGAAGGAGAGAATTTGGTGAAGGACAGTAAACAATTACGAGGCATAGGCAAGGGCGAATTAACTACTATAGGGTATTTCACAACTGATGTAGAGGTCGAGGATTTATGTTTTGGTGTTAATCGGGAAAGATGTTCTAAAGTCTTTTGACATAACATTCAGCGCAGAAGGGGTCAAGTTTAAAGGTAGAAATAAAGAATCTGCAAACGTGTTTAGTGGAATGTGTGTTGAGGAAATGTCACAGGAACGATTGGCATCAGACAGGGTCGATTTAAGTCACCTGAAGGAGGAACAGAAGCTTGTAGTAGAGGGGTTGATAAACAATTACTCTCCCCAAAAGGTCATTAAGTCACTAGTTAAAATGAAGATAGTTCTAGAAGATGACTTTCCAGTTTTTCACCACCCTCGCAGGACTTCGTATTTAAACAGAATGATTATTGAAAAACAAGTTCAGCAATGGTTAGATGAGGGAATCGTAGTACCAAGCTCTTCAGAATATGCTGCTCCAGTTGTGCTAGTGTCGAAAAAAGATGGGTCGAAGAGGTTCTGCTGCGACTATAGGAAGTTAAACTTAAAAATGAAAAAAGACAATTTTCCAATGGCGCTCATTGATGACGTGTTAGATCGCTTACAGGGTTCGAAAGTGTTTACCACACTAGATCTTACAAACGGATTTTTCCACGTACCCATAGAAAACGAATCCAGAAAATTTACAGCTTTTGTAACCCACAATGGCCAGTACGAGTTCACACACGTACCCTTTGGTATTACAAATTCACCAGCTGTATTCTGTCGATATATTAGCGCTGTACTTAGAGACCTGTTGCAAGCGAAGAAAATAATTATTTACATGGACGACATAATTATTCCATCAAGGGACGAGAATGAGGGTATAGAAATGCTAAAAGAGTTTTTGCAAGTCGCAGGTAGGGCCGGTTTACGTATAAAATGGGAAAAAGGACAGTATCTCAGAAAGAAAATTCAATTTTTGGGGTATGTTATTGAAAACGCAACCATTTCGCCAACACGGGACAAAATTGATGCGGTAGTAAATTTCCCAGTACCTAAAAGCAAAAATGCTCTTCAACGATTTTTGGGTCTTACGTCATATTTACGACGCTTCATTTAAAGCTATGCACTAGAGGCCAAGCCGCTAACCGACATGCTTCGTAGAGACAATCCAAAAGGGAATAATAGAAAAATTGAGTTAGATCAAAAGGGCTTCGTTGCTTTTGAATTCTTAAAGCATTTGCTTGTTTCAGCTCCACTATTAAAGTTATATAACCCGAGCGCAGTAACAGAAGTGCATGCAGATGCAAGTAAGCATGGGTTTGGGGCTGTTTTGCTGCAGATGGACTCAGAAGATCAACTCTTCCACCCGATAGAATTTATGAGCAAGAAAACAAATCCGTGAGAAGAAAAGTACAGTTCTTACGAATTGGAAATCTTGGCAGTTATAACAGAAATCAAAAAGTGGCGAATATACCTATTAGGCATAAAAATTCAAAATTGTGACGGACTGCAATGCTTTTGCGATGACAGTTAAGAAAGACGATGTACCAGTGCGAGTTGCTAGATGGGCTATGTTTCTGCAAGAATTTGACTACCAAGTTGAACATAGATCGGGAAGCCAAATGAAGCACGTTGATGCATTAAGCAGATTGTCTTGTCTAATAATTAAAGAGTCAGTAAAGTATAGGTTGCGGGAAACACAAGAGGCAGACAATTGGATAAAGGCAGTCAAAAAAGTTTTGGAAAGCTCTAACAGCTATGAAGATTATTTTGTTCGAAACGTGATATTATACAAGGACCTTAACAAAGAGCTGCTGGTTGTCCCTGAGACCATGCAGGATGAAATTATAACTATTGCTCACCGCGAGGGCCATTTTGGCACAAAGAAGACTGTCGACTTGCTGAGTAAACAATATTTTTTTTACAATATGCAAGAAAAAGTAGGCAAAGTGGTCCGTAGTTGTGTTGAATGTCTTATATCAGATGCAAAACGAGGCAAAAAAGAAGGACTTTTAGTACCTATTGACAAGGCCCAAGATCCATTGGGAACATATCATATAGATCACGTCGGTCCTCTCACGAGTACAAAAAAGAAATATATGCATATTTTAACGGTGGTAGACGCCTTTTCGAAATTTGTTTGGCTTTATCCCACTAAATCGACGGGAACAGATGAAGTCATAGATAAGCTCCAAAAACAGGCGTATATTTTTGGTAACCCGAAAAGAGTAGTTACTGATAGAGGCACAGCGTTTACATCAAATGTATTTAAACAATATTGTGAGAATGAGGGCATCCAACTCCTACACATTACAACAGGTATGCCAAGGGGTAACGGACAGGTAGAACGCATTCATAGAATTGTCATTCCAATGTTGACCAAAATGTGTCAGAGCAATCCCTCGAATTGGTACTGTCATGTTGATCGCGTTCAACAAATTATAAACAGCACACCTCCACGAAGCACGAAATTCACTCCTTTTAAAATTCTTACAGGACTCGACATGAAAACTAAAAACGAAGACATAAGGCAAATTCTAGAAGAAGTGGACATGGACATTTTTAATGAAGAGCGAGAATTAGTAAGGATTAAAGCACAGGAGAACATTGAGAAGATACAACAAGAGAATAGAAAGGGATTTAACGAAAAAAGGAAAGTCGAAGAAACTTATAAAGTAGGGGAACTGGTAGCGATTAAAAGAACACAATATGGCACAGACATGAAGTTAAGACCAAAGTTTCTTGGACCGTATAAGGTAACGAAGATAATGAAACATGGGCGCTATGAAGTTTAAAAAGTTGGCAATCAGGAGGGACCAAACTTAACAACAACAGCCGCAGAGTTTGTAAAAAAATGGTGTTCGTTCGGGACGAACGAATTGTCAGGAAGGCCGAATGTAGGATGTGGGGAATAAGGCGGGAGTAGAATACCCTTTTAGCAACCCTGGTCTAATATGGCATCGGCGAGTATCGATAGGCTTAAAATCGAACAGAAGAGGAGAATAAGGCATTCGCTTGAGTGGAGTGGCTGAAGTCAGTTGTTTGAGAGTTGCGAGTCAGAGTGTAGACAGTGAGTGTTGTTGCCAAGGCCAGTTTAAAGTATTGTTCGCGGAAGTGCTGCGCATTTCTTTTATATTAACTACTCATTTAACTTTTAAAACTTATGTATACTACAAGACATCCCAAATAAACTAATTTGTATTTCAAACCTACATAAATTCATTTTGTAAGCAAAATTATTGACCATTAAAGAATAATGTTTCACTTTGAGTGCCATTTAAAAATGAACTCACAAAAGTATCAACACAAACTTAAGTTTATTAAACTCTGTCAAGCTTATAGATATTATTAAATTGCATTTTAAATGATTTTTTTACATCTAATCATTTTTCGAAGCAAATTACCTTTTAGATTGCCATAAACTTAGCTGTCGAGAACGACCAATGCCACATTCATTTGTATACCGCCCTCCTCCACGATTCTCATAAAAATGGGTGACTAAAAATTCGTAAAATTTCTGAAAGCAAACCGTTTTATAATTTTACAAGTGTGAAAGTGAAGTTAAAAGAAATGTCTGATTCTATCGTTGCTGTTACATCGGCCGCCTCTCCTATTGCCATTGCACAAGCGGAGAAAAAGGTCACTGTCAAGAAGGCAACTGCCGCCAAATCGAAAAAAGCTACAGCTCCACCATCACATCCGCCAACCCAGCAAATGGTCGACGCGTCAATCAAGAATTTGAAGGAGCGCGGTGGGTCATCACTTTTGGCAATTAAAAAGTACATTAGTGCCACATATAAATGCGATGCCCAGAAATTGGCCCCGTTCATTAAGAAATATTTGAAGTCAGCTGTTGCAAATGGAAAACTCATCCAAACAAAAGGCAAAGGCGCATCTGGTTCGTTTAAATTATCTGCGGCCGCTAAAAAAGAGCCAAAGCCAAAAGTCAGTTCCGTCGAGAAAAGTAAGGCAAAAGACGCAAAGAAAAGTGGTACAGTTAAGGCAAAATCAACTACATCGAAGCCTAAATCGAGTGCTGTAAAACCAAAAACTCCAAAGGCCAAAACTACTACTACTAGTGCCAAGCCAAAGACGACAGCATCGGCACCGAAAAAACCAAAGGCTGCAGCTTCCGCCAAAAAGGCAAAGACAGCAGTAGTCAAGAAATGAATGCATATGTGAAATTTTGTATATGCAAATATAAAAATTCATTTGAAACAAAGCCCTTTTCAGGGCTACAAACAACTAAGAAAGAGAAAAAATAATTTTCAAATGTGATTTAAATGGTTTCAAATAATCTTATCTTTTTCTAATTTTGTTAATATATTTGTTATTACTTCTAGGTGTACAAGTATATGTATGAAAAATTTAACAATTTTTGTTTAAAACTGTTACAAAGGGTTTTAGACCATAATTTGTTAGTTAATTTTGTAACAAAAATAATGAGAATTGAAAAATGTTTCACTTTGAGCACAAAAGTTTAAAAAAAAAACGTATATTAATAAAATTAATAAATAATTTAATCATTTTTCGAAGCAAATTACGATAAACTTAGCTGATGCAAATACAATGGAATTGTATACGGTCCGGTCCTCCTCCACGATTCTCATAAAAATGGGTGACTAAAAATTGTTTTGTTTCAGTCGATTTCAAGCAATAAGAACTGCATATCATATAGGTGAACGATATGATTTGTAAAAATAGTTTGTTTATAAATATTGACCAAAATAGTTATATTAATATATATGTTCGCCCATTATAATAGATTTTGTTTTTTATCACAGTAAAGGGGTGCCATGTAAATTTTATTTAAAAGAAATGTATGAAAATTATTAACTCTGCTTATGAAAAATTTGATGGCCCTGAAAAGGGCCTTTTGGAACGTTGTTGCTGCTATGAAGCGGGCGATCAGACATTTACTTTGAGCTGGTGTACTTGGTAACGGCTTTGGTGCCTTCACTTACGGCGTGCTTAGCCAATTCACCGGGCAGAAGTAGGCGGACTGCCGTTTGGATTTCGCGACTCGTTATTGTCGATCGTTTATTATAGTGGGCCAAACGGGAAGCTTCAGCAGCAATGCGCTCGAAAATGTCATTCACAAAACTGTTCATGATGCTCATTGCCTTCGATGAAATGCCTGTATCAGGATGAACCTGCTTCAGAACTTTGTATATGTAGATGGCATAACTCTCCTTCCTCTTGCGCTTCTTCTTCTTGTCGTTCTTGGTTATATTTTTCTGGGCTTTACCAGCCTTTTTCGCTGCCTTTCCACTGGTCTTTGGCGGCATTTTTCACTTCAGATTAATTTAATTCACTTGAGTTAAAATAACACAACACTTCACAGTTGCTTTAGCAATATTTTTCTACCACTGAATTGCTACATATTTGTATATTTTTGTTTAACATCGCCTTCAGGTTTAACTTATAAGAAGCCGTCCAACCCTTAGCAGAGCGTATATGATGCTTAAAAAAGTATAAATATAAAGGCCTAACACTTGGTCGGACATCAACATTTGTGTGTGAGCCAGTGAGCCAGTGAGAAGTGTATTTGTGAAATAAAAAAAAAAAAAATAGAAAATGTCTGGTCGTGGTAAAGGTGGTAAAGTAAAGGGAAAGGCAAAGTCGCGTTCGAATCGAGCTGGCCTTCAATTCCCAGTTGGCCGTATCCACCGCCTGCTTCGCAAGGGTAACTATGCTGAACGTGTTGGTGCCGGCGCTCCTGTTTACCTGGCTGCTGTTATGGAATATTTAGCCGCTGAAGTTCTGGAGTTGGCTGGCAATGCAGCACGCGATAATAAAAAGACGCGCATAATTCCACGTCACCTGCAACTGGCTATTCGTAATGACGAGGAGTTAAACAAGCTCCTCTCGGGCGTAACCATTGCTCAGGGTGGTGTTCTACCTAACATCCAGGCGGTGCTTTTACCTAAAAAGACCGAAAAGAAGGCTTAAATTGGCGGCAACCTTTAATAAATAAAAACAATACTGTATATAAAACCAACCGTCCTTTTCAGGACGACCAATTTAATTCAGAAGAGATTTTAATTCATCATCATACAACGTGAATTTGAATAAAGTATAAATATGAAGGCTTAGCATTTGGTCGGGCAGCATGTCATGAACCGTAGAATATACTACTTGTATGTATATAATGCGTATTATATATTTTTAATTCGAAAGTATTTTTTATCCCTTTTGAATTTGGTCAATACGTATAATAATTACTTGAGTGTATATGTATTACTTAAGTATTTATACTCGAATTTTTAACACTGCCAACGTTTGCCATATTTTACTCCTAAATTATGAAAATATAAATGGATGGAATGTAAGCTGTACAATATGTTTGTTTTTTTAAATATGCGTATGTAAAATAAAAGTATGAGTTGAATATTTTTCTCTTTTAAAAAAATATGTTGTGGTCCTGAAAAGGTTCAATATATTATGAAAATATAAATGAAGAGTATCGATTGTACAGCTTTTTGTAAAATAAAAGTATGATTTGAATATTTTTCTCTTTTAAAAATATATGTTGTGGTCCTGAAAAGGACCGATTGTTTTCTTTATTTGCACATTTGGGCAAATGTAACTTCTTAACCGCCGAAACCGTAAAGGGTGCGGCCTTGTCTTTTTAATGCATATACAACATCCATAGCTGTGACTGTTTTCCTTTTGGCATGTTCCGTATAGGTGACAGCATCACGAATAACATTCTCCAAAAACACCTTGAGCACACCACGGGTCTCTTCATAAATTAAGCCAGAGATGCGTTTTACACCGCCACGTCGAGCCAAACGACGGATAGCTGGCTTTGTGATACCCTGAATGTTATCACGCAATACTTTGCGATGACGTTTTGCGCCACCCTTGCCCAAGCCTTTGCCACCTTTACCACGACCAGTCATTTTTCACTAATTTACTTTAACTGCACAAAATTCACAACGAAACTAACGCTGTTGCGGCCACATACGCTCGTATTTATACAAAAATAACACGAAAACACGAGCGAGTCGGATAATCTTCCTATCTCTCTTTCGCACATCTCGTTCAAACAACCACCAATCGCATTGTGCGGCCAAATTTCTATATAAAGAAGGCGCAAAGCAAGCAATACGAATATTGTGTTTTCATCAGTGACAGTGTATACAGTGTAGTAGATTAGTACGGAATAAATACTTGTATAATGGCTCGCACCAAGCAAACTGCCCGAAAATCGACCGGTGGCAAAGCGCCTCGCAAGCAGCTGGCTACCAAAGCTGCTCGTAAAAGTGCACCAGCCACCGGTGGTGTAAAAAAGCCACATCGTTATCGCCCCGGTACAGTTGCACTTCGTGAGATCCGCCGCTACCAGAAAAGCACTGAGCTATTGATTCGCAAACTGCCATTCCAGCGTTTGGTTCGTGAGATAGCACAGGACTTTAAAACTGATTTGCGATTCCAAAGTTCAGCGGTAATGGCATTACAGGAAGCTAGCGAAGCCTATCTGGTTGGTCTTTTTGAAGATACAAATTTGTGCGCAATTCATGCCAAGCGTGTTACAATCATGCCCAAGGACATTCAATTGGCCAGACGTATTCGTGGTGAACGTGCATAAGTTGAAATTTCAGCGCTTCATTTTCCAAATTATAAAATCAATAATCGGTCCTTTTCAGGACCACAAATAGCTAACAAAGAGATTAACTATTGCTTGGTATACAGCATTTTTCGTTTTATATTATGATTATTTACATTTATTCCATTATTTACACAAATGCCTGGCATTTCACATAACAATGCAAATATATAAATATGAAGTCATATACTTGTATATGTATTTTTCATTCATCAAGTAAATTAAATCATGCTATTGCGATTATCATTTTCTCAATTAAAAGAAATATACATTGAGAAAATCGATTGTTTTTTCTGAATACTAAACACACGTTATATACGATTTAATGGTTGTTACTGGTATTCAAACAAATAAATAAAATAAGATTTTCCCAAAAAAATGTAAAATTTGTTATTTATTTAATACATTTTTTACTTAAATAAATACTTGTATATTGTTATATTTTTCAAAATACAAAATAAACCACTTGTATTAAATAGAGCAATGGATTGTCCTGCTATTTAGACAAGAAAATCGATTGTTTTTTCTGAATGCGAAACACACGTTATATAGTATAAGATTTAATGGTTATTACTGGTATTCAAACAAATAAATAAAATATGATTTTCCCAAAAAAAAGTCAATTTTGTTATTTATTTAATAAATTTTTTACTTAAATATATACTTGTATATTGTTATATTTTTCAAAATACAAAATAAAGCACTTGAATTAAATAGAGCAATGGATTTTCCTGCTATTTAGACAAACATGCGAAACTACTTATAACATAACAAAACACGTTTAAAACTCGGAATTTATTATTTATTTAATAACTAACTCTTTCTAGTTTTGTTAATACATTTGTTAGTACTTGTAAGTTATCAAACTCCATTTTTTTATGACTCCTTGGAAATTCGTTAACAACTTATAATGGGTCCAGAAATGATAATATAAAATCTTAAATACTTAACAAATTATTAAAGCAAGTTTAACTTCTTTTGAATGAATGCTAAAATAAATTGGACTTTTAAAACTATATTCTTAAACTATATTTGGTAATTTGTTTGAATGCTATATGCTACTCCGATGGTCGTTTTATGCAAGGTAGGGCTACTTTGAAAGCATTCAATAAATATATTTTTTTGCATTTTAATAAATCATTCGTTTAGATTTGTATACAAAATTGTTTAAATTTTGTTTAAAACCCGTTACAAATGATTTTATAGCATAATTTCTTATAATAAATTCATTTTGTAAGCAAAATTATTGACCATTAAAGAATAATGTTTCACTTTGAGTGCCATTTAAAAATGAACTCACAAAAGTATCAACACAAACTTAAGTTTATTAAACTCTGTCAAGCTTATAGATATTATTAAATTGCATTTCAAATGATTTTTTTTACATCTAATCATTTTTCGAAGCAAATTACCTTTTAGATTGCCATAAACTTAGCTGTCGAGAACGACCAATGCCACATTCATTTGTATACCGCCCTCCTCCACGATTCTCATAAAAATGGGTGACTAAAAATTCGTAAAATTTCTGAAAGCAAACCGTTTTATAATTTTACAAGTGTGAAAGTGAAGTTAAAAGAAATGTCTGATTCTATCGTTGCTGTTACATCGGCCGCCTCTCCGATTGCCATTGCACAAGCGGAGAAAAAGGTCACTGTCAAGAAGGCAACTGCCGCCAAATCGAAAAAAGCTACAGCTCCACCATCACATCCGCCAACCCAGCAAATGGTCGACGCGTCAATCAAGAATTTGAAGGAGCGCGGTGGGTCATCACTTTTGGCAATTAAAAAGTACATTAGTGCCACATATAAATGCGATGCCCAGAAATTGGCCCCGTTCATTAAGAAATATTTGAAGTCAGCTGTTGCAAATGGAAAACTCATCCAAACAAAAGGCAAAGGCGCATCTGGTTCGTTTAAATTATTTGCGGCCGCTAAAAAAGAGCCAAAGCCAAAAGTCAGTTCCGTCGAGAAAAGTAAGAAAAAAGTTGCACCATCTGGAGCAGCTAAAAAGAAGTCGAGCGGCGTCGCCAAGAAGGCCTCTGCAGCCGGTGACAAGAAATCTAAAGTTAAAAAATCTGTTGCCACTAAAAAGACTGCCGAGAAAAAGACAAAGGAGAAGGCAAAGGCAAAAGACGCAAAGAAAAGTGGTACAGTTAAGGCAAAATCAACTACATCGAAGCCTAAATCGAGTGCTGTAAAACCAAAAACTCCAAAGGCCAAAACTACTACTACTAGTGCCAAGCCAAAGAAGACAGCATCGGCACCGAAAAAACCAAAGGCTGCAGCTTCCGCCAAAAAGGCAAAGACAGCAGTAGTCAAGAAATGAATGCATATGTGAAATTTTGTATATGCAAATATAAAAATTCATTTGAAACAAAGCCCTTTTCAGGGCTACAAACAACTAAGAAAGAGAAAAAATAATTTTCAAATGTGATTTAAATGGTTTCAAATAATCTTATCTTTTTCTAATTTTGTTAATATATTTGTTATTACTTCTAGGTGTACAAGTATATGTATGAAAAATTTAACAATTTTTGTTTAAAACTGTTACAAAGGGTTTTAGACCATAATTTGTTAGTTAATTTTGTAACAAAAATAATGAGAATTGAAAAATGTTTCACTTTGAGCACAAAAGTTTAAAAAAAAAACGTATATTAATAAAATTAATAAATAATTTAATCATTTTTCGAAGCAAATTACGATAAACTTAGCTGATGCAAATACAATGGAATTGTATACGGTCCGGTCCTCCTCCACGATTCTCATAAAAATGGGTGACTAAAAATTGTTTTGTTTCAGTCGATTTCAAGCAATAAGAACTGCATATCATATAGGTGAACGATATGATTTGTAAAAATAGTTTGTTTATAAATATTGACCAAAATAGTTATATTAATATATATGTTCGCCCATTATAATAGATTTTGTTTTTTATCACAGTAAAGGGGTGCCATGTAAATTTTATTTAAAAGAAATGTATGAAAATTATTAACTCTGCTTATGAAAAATTTGATGGCCCTGAAAAGGGCCTTTTGGAACGTTGTTGCTGCTATGAAGCGGGCGATCAGACATTTACTTTGAGCTGGTGTACTTGGTAACGGCTTTGGTGCCTTCACTTACGGCGTGCTTAGCCAATTCACCGGGCAGAAGTAGGCGGACTGCCGTTTGGATTTCGCGACTCGTTATTGTCGATCGTTTATTATAGTGGGCCAAACGGGAAGCTTCAGCAGCAATGCGCTCGAAAATGTCATTCACAAAACTGTTCATGATGCTCATTGCCTTCGATGAAATGCCTGTATCAGGATGAACCTGCTTCAGAACTTTGTATATGTAGATGGCATAACTCTCCTTCCTCTTGCGCTTCTTCTTCTTGTCGTTCTTGGTTATATTTTTCTGGGCTTTACCAGCCTTTTTCGCTGCCTTTCCACTGGTCTTTGGCGGCATTTTTCACTTCAGATTAATTTAATTCACTTGAGTTAAAATAACACAACACTTCACAGTTGCTTTAGCAATATTTTTCTACCACTGAATTGCTACATATTTGTATATTTTTGTTTAACATCGCCTTCAGGTTTAACTTATAAGAAGCCGTCCAACCCTTAGCAGAGCGTATATGATGCTTAAAAAAGTATAAATATAAAGGCCTAACACTTGGTCGGACATCAACATTTGTGTGTGAGCCAGTGAGCCAGTGAGAAGTGTATTTGTGAAATAAAAAAATAGAAAATGTCTGGTCGTGGTAAAGGTGGTAAAGTAAAGGGAAAGGCAAAGTCGCGTTCGAATCGAGCTGGCCTTCAATTCCCAGTTGGCCGTATCCACCGCCTGCTTCGCAAGGGTAACTATGCTGAACGTGTTGGTGCCGGCGCTCCTGTTTACCTGGCTGCTGTTATGGAATATTTAGCCGCTGAAGTTCTGGAGTTGGCTGGCAATGCAGCACGCGATAATAAAAAGACGCGCATAATTCCACGTCACCTGCAACTGGCTATTCGTAATGACGAGGAGTTAAACAAGCTCCTCTCGGGCGTAACCATTGCTCAGGGTGGTGTTCTACCTAACATCCAGGCGGTGCTTTTACCTAAAAAGACCGAAAAGAAGGCTTAAATTGGCGGCAACCTTTAATAAATAAAAACAATACTGTATATAAAACCAACCGTCCTTTTCAGGACGACCAATTTAATTCAGAAGAGATTTTAATTCATCATCATACAACGTGAATTTGAATAAAGTATAAATATGAAGGCTTAGCATTTGGTCGGGCAGCATGTCATGAACCGTAGAATATACTACTTGTATGTATATAATGCGTATTATATATTTTTAATTCGAAAGTATTTTTTATCCCTTTTGAATTTGGTCAATACGTATAATAATTACTTGAGTGTATATGTATTACTCAAGTATTTATACTCGAATTTTTAACACTGCCAACGTTTGCCATATTTTACTCCTAAATTATGAAAATATAAATGGATGGAATGTAAGCTGTACAATATGTTTGTTTTTTTAAATATGCGTATGTAAAATAAAAGTATGAGTTGAATATTTTTCTCTTTTAAAAAAATATGTTGTGGTCCTGAAAAGGTTCAATATATTATGAAAATATAAATGAAGAGTATCGATTGTACAGCTTTTTGTAAAATAAAAGTATGATTTGAATATTTTTCTCTTTTAAAAATATATGTTGTGGTCCTGAAAAGGACCGATTGTTTTCTTTATTTGCACATTTGGGCAAATGTAACTTCTTAACCGCCGAAACCGTAAAGGGTGCGGCCTTGTCTTTTTAATGCATATACAACATCCATAGCTGTGACTGTTTTCCTTTTGGCATGTTCCGTATAGGTGACAGCATCACGAATAACATTCTCCAAAAACACCTTGAGCACACCACGGGTCTCTTCATAAATTAAGCCAGAGATGCGTTTTACACCGCCACGTCGAGCCAAACGACGGATAGCTGGCTTTGTGATACCCTGAATGTTATCACGCAATACTTTGCGATGACGTTTTGCGCCACCCTTGCCCAAGCCTTTGCCACCTTTACCACGACCAGTCATTTTTCACTAATTTACTTTAACTGCACAAAATTCACAACGAAACTAACGCTGTTGCGGCCGGCCACATACGCTCGTATTTATACAAAAATAACACGAAAACACGAGCGAGTCGGATAATCTTCCTATCTCTCTTTCGCACATCTCGTTCAAACAACCACCAATCGCATTGTGCGGCCAAATTTCTATATAAAGAAGGCGCAAAGCAAGCAATACGAATATTGTGTTTTCATCAGTGACAGTGTATACAGTGTAGTAGATTAGTACGGAATAAATACTTGTATAATGGCTCGCACCAAGCAAACTGCCCGAAAATCGACCGGTGGCAAAGCGCCTCGCAAGCAGCTGGCTACCAAAGCTGCTCGTAAAAGTGCACCAGCCACCGGTGGTGTAAAAAAGCCACATCGTTATCGCCCCGGTACAGTTGCACTTCGTGAGATCCGCCGCTACCAGAAAAGCACTGAGCTATTGATTCGCAAACTGCCATTCCAGCGTTTGGTTCGTGAGATAGCACAGGACTTTAAAACTGATTTGCGATTCCAAAGTTCAGCGGTAATGGCATTACAGGAAGCTAGCGAAGCCTATCTGGTTGGTCTTTTTGAAGATACAAATTTGTGCGCAATTCATGCCAAGCGTGTTACAATCATGCCCAAGGACATTCAATTGGCCAGACGTATTCGTGGTGAACGTGCATAAGTTGAAATTTCAGCGCTTCATTTTCCAAATTATAAAATCAATAATCGGTCCTTTTCAGGACCACAAATAGCTAACAAAGAGATTAACTATTGCTTGGTATACAGCATTTTTCGTTTTATATTATGATTATTTACATTTATTCCATTATTTACACAAATGCCTGGCATTTCACATAACAATGCAAATATATAAATATGAAGTCATATACTTGTATATGTATTTTTCATTCATCAAGTAAATTAAATCATGCTATTGCGATTATCATTTTCTCAATTAAAAGAAATATACATTGAGAAAATCGATTGTTTTTTCTGAATACTAAACACACGTTATATACGATTTAATGGTTGTTACTGGTATTCAAACAAATAAATAAAATAAGATTTTCCCAAAAAAATGTAAAATTTGTTATTTATTTAATACATTTTTTACTTAAATAAATACTTGTATATTGTTATATTTTTCAAAATACAAAATAAACCACTTGTATTAAATAGAGCAATGGATTGTCCTGCTATTTAGACAAGAAAATCGATTGTTTTTTCTGAATGCGAAACACACGTTATATAGTATAAGATTTAATGGTTATTACTGGTATTCAAACAAATAAATAAAATATGATTTTCCCAAAAAAAAGTCAATTTTGTTATTTATTTAATAAATTTTTTACTTAAATATATACTTGTATATTGTTATATTTTTCAAAATACAAAATAAAGCACTTGAATTAAATAGAGCAATGGATTTTCCTGCTATTTAGACAAACATGCGAAACTACTTATAACATAACAAAACACGTTTAAAACTCGGAATTTATTATTTATTTAATAACTAACTCTTTCTAGTTTTGTTAATACATTTGTTAGTACTTGTAAGTTATCAAACTCCATTTTTTTATGACTCCTTGGAAATTCGTTAACAACTTATAATGGGTCCAGAAATGATAATATAAAATCTTAAATACTTAACAAATTATTAAAGCAAGTTTAACTTCTTTTGAATGAATGCTAAAATAAATTGGACTTTTAAAACTATATTCTTAAACTATATTTGGTAATTTGTTTGAATGCTATATGCTACTCCGATGGTCGTTTTATGCAAGGTAGGGCTACTTTGAAAGCATTCAATAAATATATTTTTTTGCATTTTAATAAATCATTCGTTTAGATTTGTATACAAAATTGTTTAAATTTTGTTTAAAACCCGTTACAAATGATTTTATAGCATAATTTCTTATAATAAATTCATTTTGTAAGCAAAATTATTGACCATTAAAGAATAATGTTTCACTTTGAGTGCCATTTAAAAATGAACTCACAAAAGTATCAACACAAACTTAAGTTTATTAAACTCTGTCAAGCTTATAGATATTATTAAATTGCATTTCAAATGATTTTTTTTACATCTAATCATTTTTCGAAGCAAATTACCTTTTAGATTGCCATAAACTTAGCTGTCGAGAACGACCAATGCCACATTCATTTGTATACCGCCCTCCTCCACGATTCTCATAAAAATGGGTGACTAAAAATTCGTAAAATTTCTGAAAGCAAACCGTTTTATAATTTTACAAGTGTGA